TTATATTATTACCTCATTGGTTATTAATAAATAATCTCATTATTGATAATACACTTAAAATAATCTTTTATGTATTTATATTTCATATAAATAATTTTTACCTTCTATGTATTTATTTTATATTTCATATAAATAATTTTTATTAAGGAAATATTTTAAATTATTTAATGACCTGAGGAAAAATGATAAATATTAGTACTATTATTTGAAATTGTTAACATAACTTTTACCTGAATAAAATAATGTGAAATAAAAATTATTATTATTATTATGAAATATAAAATTAAAAAAAAATATATATAATAATTCATTGCAGTAATTCTAATGGAAAACATATTTTGTTCAAATAATAATAGAATAAGGAGAAAGAAAAGACGACAGGTAAGCATCTTCATCAATAATCCGAATGACCTCTGACCTCAGATTCCAATCTTTATATCTCTTTCTCTCCCTACTTCTTCAATTCATAACTAATATATTTTATCCTACTATTGTTGTTGTTTTTCATATATATATATATATATATATATATTCAAAACAATTATTTCCCCACTGGATCAGCGCAATTTTCAAATGATGTATCGGATTAATTCTAACTTTCCTTTTGTCATTTGTCATTCAATATTGAATTTCATCATTACCATTAATTCAATTAATCAACATTTAATTAATCATATTTGAATGATTATTTATTTAATTTAATTTAATTTTTTTTATTTTATTAATTTTTTTATTTAATTAATCAATACGATAACATTTTCTAACGGTATTTGCATTATCAATAATCACATCATTTAATTCTGTATAAATATTTATTTATTAAATCATTATCTGTCATTAATTGTTAGCAATTAATGACAGATAATCAATCATTAAATTATTCTATTATAAATTACACCTTATTTAACACTAATTACTATTTATAATAAAATTTTTTTTCACAGAAAAAAATTAATTCAAAAATAATTTCTTTCAAATAGAAAAAACCAAAAGATTAATAATACAAACAAATCATTAGCATTTAAAATAATATCTTAAACAATAATAATTTAATGTGAACTTAATGAAATTATTAATACATTAGATTAATTAATTAATTAGCTATGATCGTGATATTTTAATTAATTATACCCTTTTTTATCAAATAAAGTAAAAATAAAGAAATTCATTATTCAGTCCTTTTTTTTGACAGTTAACAAACAGTGGAAATTTTTTGAATGTAACAAACATATTCGAGCAAGCATTAATACGGTTTCAAACAACCGTATTATTGCCGGAATAATCTCTCCCTGTTTATCGTATGCATCAAATCCTAATTACAAACAATCTTATCAAGGTCAATGCAATAAATACCAATCAAAAATTGCCTAACCAAGAATTTATAATAATACCAATACTAAAATAATTAGCATAGCAAAAAAAAGAATGTGGAATTTTTATTTTTTGATGAAAATTTTCAACTTTATTTTTTGCAATGATATCAGATATAATATTTTATTTATTATAATAATAGTATAAATTAATAAATTAATGAATTGAATAAATTATGTAAGAGAAATAATAAGCAACTAAAAAATAACATATACTATATATGTATATATAGTTACTAAATTATATACTAATACAATAAATTAATTAGCATTTAAATTATTTATCAGTTTTATACTCATATTTAAATAATTGTTGTTTCAATTACAAGCATTATTTTAAAGAGTTAATTATTTGTGGGAAATTAAAATTTGAAAATTTTCTATTAGTTTATGCTAACATTTTCTTTTTAGTTTATAGGCTAAGTTTAATAAAGTTTAAATTATAGAAGCAAATGATTCCCAATTCCGGAAAATCATATTAGTATGGATGATGATGAATAGCGATAGAAATATTCGCAAAATAAACATGTTTATAATTGGAATGATAAATGATGATGATGATGATGATGATGATGATGATGATCCTTATAGTTGAAGGATTCATTCAATTAGGTAAGCCATTAGATGGGAAGAAAATTTGAATTAAATATAATTACTTGACTTGAAATTTCTCATATGAAAGAAATATTCAATTCGAAAATGGATGATATTATCTCAATTTATTACAACAATTTAATAATATATAAAATTGATCTGATAAAGTTAAATTTCCTGCTTTTTTTCCCTTCACTGATTAATTAACAAATTTACTGCATATGTCAATTAAATCATATTATCAGAGTTGAAGAATGATAAATGTGATAACAATGATACTGATATGAGATAAATATAATAATAATGGTACTGAATAAAATAGGAATAGTAATGATGTGAAAAATTAATATTCACATTCGATATATCAATTCTGATATATATATATGTATATATTATAGATAATTTTTTTTTCATTTTAACTTACAACTTAACGAAAATTATGCGTTAGTAAATTAATCATATCATTATCTCAATTGATTAATAATAATAACAAAAAGTGGCCAATAATAACAAGACAATAAGAGACAACAACAACAACTACTACTACAACTACAACTACAACAACAACAACAACAACAACAGTAACAGCAACAACTTGTTCGATCAATAAAACAAGAATAATTGATTGATAATAACAACAACAAAGTAACAATTTTTAAGTTAATTAATATAATAATAATAAAATATATTATTTTATTAAAAAAAGATGTAAATCTATTTGAATAGGAAAAATGAATAAATTATAGATTGGAATAAATCGATATCATTAAAACAACAAGTGATATTCGAATTGTAATACTGTCACTGTGAAATTAGAAGATGCTGGAGGAAAGGAAGGACATTCGTATCTTAGCAGATGTTTTCTTGTCTTTTCGATAACCTCAATTTGACCCATTACAAAATTTCCCCGCCAATTTTCTTAATCATTAAATTTTGTAAAAATAAAACATTCACAATATTCAAATGAAAAAGGTTAACGAACTAAATAATATTATGGTAATTTAATTTCAATAATGCAACATTTGAAATGATTAATTTATTCAATGATAAAATAACTATATATTAATTATATATTACTACAAATAATTATATATTAATCATTTCCAATTTTTTCCCTTAATTTTAGGATCATTTATTATGTGTTAATATTTTGTAACACTTTTTTTTGCTTCGTCGAGAAATTTTTAATTGCTAACACTAATTAATAAATTGATAATTATTAATGTTAATCAATAATTATGAGCTTCTTTTTTTCTTCTCTTCCTTTCGTTGGATAGATTGAAAAAGATTGCAAAAGAATGAATTCAATCATATGTTGCATGAATTCTCGGGAGAAACTAGATGCGGGGGATAAATATAAAAGATCAAAATTAATATATTCAGATATATACTTATTCCATTTCTATTTAAAATAATTATTTCAAAAAATAAATAATTATTTAAAGAAAAATTCGTCAATTTAGGGAAATTTTTTAATTAATACAATCACACGGATATTGTAAAATATAAAATCAATTCTTTCTTTTTTGGAATGGTTTAATTTTCATTTTTATCCTAAAAATTTCTAAAATTGAAATATTTAAAATTTTTCAGATAAAAGGAAAAAAAGACGAATCCATGGAAGATGTAAATTAATGACAAATTAGTTAATTGCATTTTTTTTCAATTTAATTAAAATGTTTGCAAAAAAGGTTAAAAAATTAAATAGAGAAGAAAAATATTGTTAAATGATGATTGTTTAAAATTTATTTAAAAAGCAAAATTTTGTTGAATAATTGAAAATTCAGTAAATCGGACCAAACAAATTAATTAGCAATTAATTTAAATGTCTTAAAATTACGGAATAATCCATATGTAAATTTCAACTGCATCTGTTAATTAAAAATTTCAATTACATCTAACATATTTGTAAATTAAATAATTAATTATAACTAATATTTTATTATTACTTCATCCTTCTCATCGTTACATTTCCTACTTTTTCACATCTTATACAAAATATCAATTGTAATTATAATTCGAATATAATAACTGAACATAATATTTAAATATTCATAAAGATTTTAAGTACTATTTTACATTTAATAATTTAAATTGAATATTTGAAAAAATGTAAAAGATAAAGATTAGTGTAAAAGAAAAGATAAAAGCTAGCTATCGTTGTAAGAAATGGAGAAATGAAAAAATTTTAGAAATGAAATAATTAAACCAAAAATTAAAAATTAATTTCAGGAAGTAAACAATTTCGATAAAATAAGAAACATTACAATCCCTAAATTATTTCATATATAAAAGCAAAAACAAAAAGTTAATTAAAGCAAAAAAAGAGTAAACAAAAGAATTTGAAAATGAAATTTAAAAAAATGACAAACTAACCAATTTAAGCTCAGCAACACCACGACATATTGTCCATTCTTGGCTATTGACAAATGCATCTGAAATGAACAAATGATAATGATAATATTGACAATGATAATATTGAAATGAGTTATAAAGGTTATTGAATAGTAAAATTAAAATGATCAAAATTTCAAACTTTAAAAGTTAAAACAAAGAAACTATTTCATTTGATATGATTGATAATTGTTGTATAATTACAAAAGAATTTTCAACTCTTTTCTTTAATTATTTCAAAAATTTTTTTAATTATAATTAATTTCAATTAAATTATAAAGCTAGATATTTTTGCAATTTGTCAAGAAATTTTTTCTTGTTTTAAAAATTTTTTGATAAATAATTTAATGATGTCGCAAATTTTAATTAATTTTACCCACATAATTATTCATTAAGCTAAAATACAAAAATTAGAATTATTTAATTAATTAAGTAATCATTTCTTTTACTTTCTTAAGTAATCATCATTTCACTAAATTTTCCATTTATCTTTACATGTTCGATTATTATTTACTTCTTTTGTTTTCAAATTACAATCTTTCAAAATATAATCAAAATAATTTAATTAATCATAATTAAATAAAATAATTGAAATCGCGAAAAATAATTAAAATAATCAATAAAATTTCCGGAAGGATAATTTCATTTTAAAAAAATTATATTAATTGATAATATCTTTTTTAGCGCACCACTTTTACTCCTTTGTACTTTTCGTGATTTTTTCCGTGAATCTTTTCCGGATAAACTATTACGTTTCATTTTCGTTAACATATCCGGCATCAGATTCATCAATGAAATTATCTCATCAGAAAGTTTAGTTTCGTGTTTGCTATATTTTTGATTTAGAGCACATAATTTAATCTTTTCAAAGGAATATTTTAAGGAATTTCGAAATGATGAATCATGGCTAGTTGTACGATATCGGCGTCTATTCTTGATGGAATTATTGCATCCATCTGATATGATATTATCATTGGAAAAATTCCGAGAAAAAATTTCGGATAATTTTCCACAATAATCATTTCTGGTTTTTGATATTTCTGGTTGAATTGATTGTTGTTGATCTGTTTCTTTAATAGATGATAATGATGATTCATGCTCTTCTTTATATGCATCATTGGTGGCAGCAGTAGTGCAATTATCAGGTGTAATTGTCACATTTAGACATATCTTAGCCTTATAAGTTCCTTGATCAGTATCAGCTGCCGAATAAAATGCTCTATCAGTGGAATTAGCAATAGGAAAAATAGTAAATGATGTCGATTTAGTAAGTGTATATTCACCGCGACGTCGTGGCATATTCCTATTTTCTTCCTTATTGAATCTATTTTTCTGTTCTTTTTTTTTCTATTTCTATTTTATTATTGTTTTATCTAAAATAATTAGAAAAAATTAATGGTGTAAATAACTAATGAATAATTTGAAATGAAATGAAAGTAACGCATTTCTTAAATAAAATGAAATTACCGAAGAAAAAATTGAAATTGAATGAAATTACCGCAATAAAAAAGAACAATTAAATTTATTACATTATTTAATAATGTTATTTTGAGAAAAGGAAGTTACCACAATTTGCTACAACAATTTTATTATTATAAAGTATATATTGATATTATGTATGCTATCACTAACAATAACTAATCTTTTATTTTAGAGTATATAGCGGCTAGTTGCTACGAACAAAATTTGTAAAAATTATATTTGTTTACTGAAGAATTGTGATATATCACAGACTATATAACTGTAAACATATTTTTTAAAGAAATTAATCTCCAATTTTTTTCCCCTTTTTTTCGATGAAAAAAACAGAGGAAATTTTATTTAAATAAATCAACAAAATATTTTCCTCTTAAATACCCAATTAATCAAAAGTTCACATTCTCAAAGTTTAAAATGGTTACAACTAGGGAATTTTAATTTTCTGAAATCGAAAAGTAAAATAAAATAAAAAATTATTATTATTATAATTATTATTCCCTATACATTTACTTTTATATATATAATATAAAATAGAAAATTGGAACAAGAAAAAATAATCCTAAAAAATTTCCCAGTATAAAGCATATCTTTAATAATAATATAAATGATAAAAGCGAAAAGAATTAATGGAAAAAGAAAAGGGAAAAATCGATCGGACAGCTGGCTACAAGGAAAAAGGATTTATTAATATTTGAGAATTTCGTTTTAGTTCTTCTTCCTTAATCTCTCTTATATATTCCTTTTAGATCTTTTGCATTTTCTTCCTTTTTCATTTTTACTTATTTAATGAATACTTGGAAAATATGCAGAACGAATAGTAAAAATTATACAAAAAAAACAAACGAATTAAATTGAATATCAATATCGATAATTGATATAAATTGAATATTAATATCGATTTAAATTTATTAAATTGAACATCGATATTGATATAAATGCATTAAAATGAATATTAATATTGATAATTGATATAAATGCATTAGAATCAATATAAATAGTGATAATTGATATAAATGCATTAAAATGAATATCAATATTGATAACTGATATAAATGCATTAAAATGAATATCAATAATGATAATTGATATAAATGCATTAAAATGAATACCACTATTGATAACTGATATAAATGCATTAAAATGAATATCAATAATGATAATTGATATAAATGCATTAAAATGAATATCAATATTGATAATTGATATAAATGCATTAGAATCAATATAAACAGTGATAATTGATATAAATGCATTAAAATGAATATCAATATTGATAATTGATATAGAAATATGAAAATATATTTTAAAAAGAATGCGATCGCAAATTTGCAGTTTTAAAATATAATAATTCAATTGAAATTATTTATCCGTTATGATAAGGGGGCGATATTCGTTTTAGTTAGTATGCCATATTTATTATCGAAATTGAAATTGTTAAAGAAAAAGGAAAATATTTAAACTTTGATCTCAACCTTATAATAAAAAGTATCATTGCTTCATCTTTCGTTTCTCTTTTTCTCCATTTATATCATAGCATTTATATCAAATCATTCAAAAAAGATCAAAGATAAAATTTTAAAATATGATATTATCAATTTATCAATTCTTCTAAATTCAGAATATGAAATTATTATTTAAGAATGTGAAAATATGAAATTAAAAATTTATTCTGATTAAAAAAAAATTTTTCCTAATAAAAATTTAATTTCATTATTGTTGACGTAATTTTCATATGTATGCAAATATCGCTTTATCAAATGAATGTATAAAAATTAACGCAATTTAATTTTAATCAAAAATTATGAAAGTTATTTGAAGTGATAAAATTTAAAGTATAACAAGGGTAAAGGTTAAAATCCAATTATAATATTTAACAACTGTATTTATAGCTTCTTTCTCAACAGAGAAAAGCGATATTCGGCGACTAAAGATTAGAAGTATCACAAATTCTGTATTTTAAATTATAATTTAATGATCATAATTAACCCTCCGTGCTTTATCCTTGTCAATCCTAAATATTGCTTGTCCAGAAATCTGGAAGTTAAAACAACGCTGCCTTAAATAAATGAACAAAAATTTCACATCGAAGGAACTGACTTATTTATAACCAATGTATCCCTATCTACATTTTAGCTAAACAAGACGTGAATTTTAATTTGAACTATTTTATACATTTTCGAATTTAGCTATTCTAAATATTTGCTTAATTCTATATATATAAACTTGATTAATAAAAATTACAGGAAATTAAAATAGTGTATGGATTACGGAAACTATATCTATATCTATATATATATATATAGATAGATAGATAGATAGATAGATAGATGAGTTATTTGGGAATATATGGATTAGAAAAATTGGAAGTATGCAAACTTAAAAATATGTGAGTTACATGAAATTTGAGAAATATATAAAGCAGGATACGTGAAATTGAAGAAATATAAAGGTCAAATAAACAACGAAATATAGGAATTAGAGAGATGCTATAAATATATGAAATAGATGGAAATGGATAATTCCGGAAATTTATAAATGAAGTAAAATTTCAAGAATTTACGAATTGAATAAAATCAAAAATGTGCAAATTTATTTCGTAGAGTTTCATAAAATAACAAAATGAATTAAATGAGAGGAAGTAAATTTTAAAGTAAAATATAAATTGCTTTTTTCTGGGAATGATTCAGAATGAATGAATGAATGAATATGTTTGTTTATAACAACTGCAATTGCACTTTATGAATTATTTTCCGGTTTTGTTTAATGAAAACCGAAAAAGAAAATAGACAGATGTATAATTGAGTAATTAATTAGTTGGCTGCTCACCGATGGGAATTATAAAAATATTGGAAATCAATTTGCCTGCACTAAATTGCAATAAACTTAAATTTAGTTATAAGTTCATTAGGGAATTTTCATCAGATAAACACAAAATATATGAAATTTATGATTCGATAACTGGCTAATCGATTGAAAAAAATTTTTTCAAATATCACAAATATCATTTAAGAGTATCGGATGATAATAACGAAATTGAAATTTAATAATGCGTTACGATCAATTACCTTCCATCATTTTCCTCTTATCGTTTTCTCTCTTATCCTTTATTTCAGCTATCATTTATCATGATAACTTCAAAGAATTTAGGATGAGTCATCGAAAATGATAAGATTATTTTGAATGAATAAAAAATATGTATATGTATAATGTTATTTTTGATGTCACATACATCTTATTTGTTTATTGTACATGTATTATTATTTTATATGCATATTATTATTTTTGATGTCACATATATCTTATCAGTTTATCATATATGTATTACTACTTTATATATATATGTGTTATTTTTGATGCTACATATATCTTATCAGTTTATCATATATGTATTACTACTTTATATATATGTGTTATTTTTGATGTTACATATATCTTATCAGTTTATCATATATGCATTACTATTATATATATTATTATTTATGATGTCACATATATCTTATCAGTTTATTTGAGGAAACGTTGAAAAAAAAAAGAAATTGTTTTTTAAATTGAAATGCAAATTTTCCCAAAGACAAAATAAACAAACAAACAAAGAAAAAGGAATGCAAAACGAGGAGAGCAGAGGATAAGAGAGAAAAACTACACTGAAATTTTTTAAAATATAAATTTAACAAAATTGATTTTTTCTTTCTTTCTTTCTCTCTCTTCGAAAATAACAAAGAAAGAGAAAAAATGGATAACTAAGAAAAAGTTGTCATTTCCGTCATTTTCCTAAAATATCTCTTCGTCTCTTAAATGAGAAAAAGAATTTGAAGATTTTCAAATTACAAATGAATGAATCATTCATTCATTAATATTTCCCTTAAAATAGGAATAAAAGAACAGAAAGAGAGAGAGAGAGAGAGAAAGAAAGAGAGATGAGAAATATTTTCGAAATTTTAAAATGAAATAATAAATTTGATACTTTTGAAATTTCATTAAATATTATGCAATATTTCTCTTATTTAGATTTATCAAAAAAATTTCAAAATTTTAGGATAATTTAAAATGAAAAATTTGTTATCATTAAAATTTACTTTTATAGTGATAAGAGAAGAAAAAAAATAGAAAGAATAAAGAGGAGAGAGAAGAGAAATTGTCAATTGTTTTTTTTTAATGAGATAATTCAATTAGTGAAATTTATTTATTTAAAAAGAAATGTTTGAAAAAATTAAACTTTCGTTCGAATAAAATAAAATTTCGTATGTTACTGATATATGTACACAACACACACACACACACACACACACACACACACACACATATGCACACACATACACATACACACACATATATGTATATGTATGAATATATATGCATGAATAGCTCATTACATCAATATATGAAAATAGATGGATGCATATCCTATCCAAATAATGGATATCAATTTTGTCATCATTTAAAATTTTAAATTTTAATAAATGTAACTAATATTTGAAATGAAAAAAGGAAGAGTGAAAGGATATGAAATAGTTGAAAAGTTTGAATAGTTTAAATGATAGAAAAGAAAAGGAAGAGTGAGGAAGTTAAAAGAAATCGAATCATTCAAACAAATCATACAATCTTAAATTTTAATAAATTTAATTGACATTTGAAATGAGAAACAATAAGATGGAAAGAATATGAAATAGTTGGAAAGTTTAAAATATAAATGAAAGGAAGATTAGGAGAAAGGATGAGTTAAAAGAGGTTGAAAAAGGTCGAATAATTCAAATAAGGATATTATTGATGATATATGAGATATTTAATAATTGTAATAATAGCAGCATATGGTGTTAAAG